GGAACATAATATTAAACCACACCACTTGTTGGAGAGTTTTAGGATCTGGAGAAGATGGGTTGTAGGAGGATAGGGTCTAAAAGTACTTACGAGTGACCACGAGTGACCACGAGTGACCACGAGTGACCACGANCACTTGTTGGAGAGTTTTAGGATCTGGAGAAGATGGGTTGTAGGAGGATAGGGTCTAAAAGTACTTACGAGTGACCACGAGTGACCACGAGTGACCACGAGTGACCACGAATGATCACGAGTGAGATTACATCAAAAAATGTCAGTGATGTTATTATGACGTCATCAAGAAGTCATTGTGAGATCACGTCATTAAATAACGACCTTACCACCACACTGAGGCTATTTACTGGTGTAGTAATCAAAGATTAGAGTAGTGGCCGCGCTTCACAATTCGATTTTTTTCGTTTTCAAATATATTGGCTGCTTTTCCATTTGTGAAAGTGAAGAAAAATTCGCCCGATTTTACTAAACCAAGTGACGCTTAAAACTGCGTGCGGACAGTTTGCATGCTTTGTGTGATCGAACAAAAGATAAACCAAAAAACGGCACTCACCGCTTTTATCGACTATAACAGATAAACCATTTTGGCCAGAAATTACGGCCTTTTGGTAACCAACAAAACCACAGGTGGAAAATCTCGTACAGACTGGACTAGGATTGCGTTACACCACGTTGATCGCAACTAGTGTTTCTAGAACACGTCATAATTCTTAATTTTTAGCCACGACTCAGTATAAAGGAGGTGTGTCTCCTCTATGTCTGCCCTATGTCTCCTTTATGTCCTCCTCTATGTCCTTGCCCCCGGAGATGTTTCAAATCGTGGTACGTGGACTATAGATGTTAGATTGCATGTCATAGGCCGTGGTTTGTGGTCAAAATGGTTTATCCGTTCCACGGTCAATATTCTTCAATTGTGAAAATAAGACGTAAATTCGCGTAATTTAAGGGGGTCTTATACTCTCAGATATAAATTTTTCTCCAGAAAACCATTTTTTTGGAACATGGAG